GGGGGGAGGAGGGGAAGGGAGGCGGAGGGGGGAGGAGGGGGGAGAGAGGGAGAGAGGAAGAGAGGAAGAGAGGAAGAGAGGAAGAGAGGAAGAGAGGGAGAGGAAAGACAGACAGAGGGACCATAGAAGAAGCATGTCAGCAGGCATGAAGAGAGACAGAAAGACGGGCTGTGACCACCGGGAGATGGCGCACCTGCTGGTCGATGAAGGAGCACCGGTCGGGCATGATCAGGTACGGATCGATTGGGCACCGGGTGGCCTCGGTGGTGGTGCTCTGATGCATGTCCACCTGCGCCCGCTGGCAGGAGCGTGGCAGCGCCGCACCGGAAATACCAGCCCGCAGGCGCAGCTTCATGTTGTGGCCGCAACTCCGGCAGACAATGTGCAGGCGCGTGGCCTTGGCACTGACGGTCGACGCGCTGATGATGATGCCGGGCACGCGGATCAGGCGCGAAATGTGGTCCGACTGGGGAGGGCGCGACAGAGCGGAACCAGGTGCCGGCAGGACCAGGGAAAGAGGGGGAAAGGGGAACAAAGGGAAACCATGGCGAATCAGTGACCCGGAGCAGCAAACGACGAGCCACAAAAGTACCGGCGCACGGTCAGATCACGGATGGGCACCGCATTGGCCGGAGAGGACAGCAGGATCTGGAACTCCGGGACCGTGTCCATCCGGAGCTGAGACCCGTCGGCCTCTTCGGACTCCGGGGCCAGGAGCTGCTCCTCGGCATGGAGGTGGGCCGCATACGAGCGAACCGCATCCTCAAACTAGGTGTGCCATGAGTCAGAGGAAGGTTGCTCCATTTGCGAGTCGCTGCCGGAGCGAGGGGGGCAAGAGAGTGATATATATATATATGTATACAGCGAGCGAGGGACAGTCGAGGGGAAGCGAAAGCGAAGGGGGCGCACGTGGGGCAAAATCTCCGAGGGGTTGCGGTTGATTTGCTGCACGAGCAGCTCATCGAAAGCCGTCAGATGGGCCAGGTCCACCTCCAGGAAGTACTGGTGGGTGTTGTAGTTCTGCACAAGCTGCTCACTGGGGGGGGAGGGGGGTGCCACAGAAGAGCGAAGTGCGAGGGTGAGTCGGTGCATGAGCGAGGTACATGTGTGTGTACGCGCAGGAAAGCGGGCGCCTCACATACCGGTAGATGAATTCGTTGTCCAGCTGGAAGTCGCGGATGAAGCTCTGGAACTGACGCTCCAGGAAGGACTTCTGCGATTGCTGCTTCTGCTGGTGCATGCCCTCGCTGGCGCCGCCATCCTCGCTGGCGACAGTGCCGCCCGACATCTGGGCGGTGAAGATGCGGCCCCTGTCGAAGCCGGACATGTTGCTCTTGTGAAGGGGGGTCCGTGGCGTCGGGGAGGAGGGACAACACCAGGCTGGCTATTACCGGGGGAGGGGAGGGGGAAACGCAACAAGCAGAGGGGAAGGACCGCTTCTTGGAAAGTCCAGGTCCAGGGAAAGGGAGAGGGAGGCGGGGGCGGAGAGGAGGAAGGGCGGCAGGGAGAGGGGGAGATGCCGAGCGCTGGGTCCCCCAGCGACGAGTCGGCAGAATTCCCCTTAAACCGGTCGCGGCCCGGCAGGGGGCGAAAAGACCGGCCCGACACTGCCCTCGCTGCCGGGACCACACCTTGTGTTGGGGACACTTGGCCCTCAGCCTCCCGGCCTTTGGTGGTCACAGGCAAGCGCGCGTACACCCACACACAGAAGAGACACACACGACACGCACGCATGTACGTGCATCGGCAAACCTCGCGTATGACCGGGAACATGCGCAGGGCAGCCAAGCATGCGTCCCGGCCGCGGGCCACCGTGGCCGAACTCGGCCCGGCACCGCGCCGAGGATCGGGAGCATTTGAATTTGATCGAGTAACGGTTCGGTCATGTGATTGCCCCTTTCCCCCGCCCCCCTTCCGCCTGCCCTGCTGGTGGGCTTGGACAAAAGGGACTGGCTCGCCGCGGCCCGGGGGGGGGGGGGGGGGGCGACTTTCTCCCGGCCCGATCTGCTCTGATTTGATGCCGGGGCCGCGGCCCGAGGGCACCTCTGCCCGGGACCAGCATACAGCCACCACCGCCACCGCCACCGCCACCGCCAACACCTTTCCTCTGTATATGCACCACACTTTTGAAGGGCGCCAACAAACACTCGCGATCCTACCTCTTCTCTGATCGCCCCCTTGCGCCTTGCTCGTCGGTCGCGTGCTGCCTGTCGCCTCCGCCATCCTCTGCGCACATCGCCCGTGGCGACCTCCACCGGAGACGTGCTAACACCATGGGGGCCGACTATGACTCGGCCAGTGACGAGCTGAACTACCAGTCCGACTCGGCGTCCGACTCGGGAGCCGGCGGCAGTGACACCGAGGACGTGTATGTCCGGTCACCTGTAAGTGACGATCTCGATGACGGCCAACAGGACGACGACGAAAATGAGGGCATCGAAGATGAGGATGAGGACGCTGAGGACGAGGACGCTGAGGATGAGGACGCTGAGGATGAGGATGCCGAGGAGGAAGAGGACATGGATGACGATAATGACGACAATGAGGAGGAGGAGGACGACGACGACGACGATGAAGACGAGGACGACCATCGGGTTTTGCGGTCATCTGTCGCCGGGCTGAAGCGCTCCCGCTCGGCGGCAAACCGCCCTTTTGACTACAGCTCCGATGAGGATGACGGTGTGTCCTTGGTCTGGGGCTGCTTTTTTTTTTTTCCCCTTTCCCATCGCTCTGCCTTCCTCGGGGTCCTCTCCGGCATCGCACCCGGCCAAGTACACGGCCCCATGCTGACACGCTTGCTGGCCAATCAGACGCCTCCCGCCCGACACAGGAGGAGCTCAGCCACCGACGTCGGCTCCTGAACATCCAACGCCTCGAGTCGGAGATGGTATGTCCCCCCGCCAGGTGCCCTGCACATGGGCCTGGGCCGTGTCGCGCTCGACTCCTGGCTCTCCACTCCCCGCCTAACCTTCTTTATTCTCCCCCCCCCCCCCGGCACCCAGCAATCGGTTGTCCAGAAGCTCTTGTCCCGGCAGCCGGTCAAGCGCCAGAAGAAGGACGAGGATAAGAAGGTGTGCACTCGGCCCTGGCGCCATGTTATGCTCTGTTCCTCGCCTCGCCCTCGCCGCCCCTCCTCGGCCCCCTGCCATGAGACCACCCGCACTGACCCCCACCCAGCCGGAGGTTGCCTTCGAGAGCGTGGCCGAGGTGATCCGCACTCGGCAAGTTGTCATCCCCCCTGCCGACGGCCACGACGAGACGGGACCCCAAAGTGCCACCTTCGTTTCTTTCCCCACCAGTGCCCCCGACACCCTGGTGTTCCCCTTGAAGCCTCGGACAACGCGCAGCTCCAAGCAGCAGCCTGCCGATGCGTGAACCCCCTTTGAGGTCATTCTCCCCCTTTCCCCCCTCTCCCCCCCCCCCTCACAGATCGCTGCGACATGCCGCTCCCCCCGCCCAGCTGCATCGCCTCTCTGCCAATAGATGAGAAGTCGCACTCTCCCCTCGCCGCAGGGGGAGGGGGCACCTCCTGTGGGGTACTCACGTGCAGGGAAAAAGAAGGCCCGCCCCACCGATGGCCAGAAGCCGGGCGCAAATATGACATCTGTGTATACTTCAGCGCACACATACATACACATGCAGATGGGGTTTCTGCTGGGCAGCCCCGCCGGGCCTTCGCTCGAATTGAAAGGGAGGGGAAGAGCAACGGCCCGGTCCACATCTGTGTCCGTACATGTATGTGCCCGTATGCTTTTGTGTGTGTGTGTGTGTGTGTGTGTGTGTGCCTGCCTGGGGCGGCGTGCAGTGGCTGGCCCTACATCCCACACATCGCCGGGCTCGGGTGTGTACGCGTGCGCGCGCGTCGGACACACGAAACACAGGGCAGGCCCCCTGCCCCATGGCAGGGACGAGGAAGCGCAGGAATCAGGCAGGAGGCATGAACACCAGGCCATTTAGGACGGGGTGCCCAGCCCATCCCCATGGCAGTGGGTGCCTCTCTGCCGGTGGCCCCGTACCTGGCCCCGGGGGCCCACACATGTCCGGGGGCCGGCATGAGCCCTGGAAGGTGCCTAGAGCTTGCTCGAAGACAGCAGGATGGCCTTGCTGACCCCCTGGGCGTAGGCCTCATCGGCACGGCGGATGTTGTCCAGCTGGCGGGTCTGGATCTCGCGCTTGGCCGCGGCCAGGTGGTTGCCCAGATTGTCGGTCAGGGCCTTCTGCTCCTCCAGCTTCAGCAGCCGATACAGAAGCCCCGGCTGGACGAAGTCCGTGTCGGTGAGCTTGTACTCATACCGGCCGATGGTGAATTGCAGGTCCTTCGGGCCGGAGTCCTTGTGGTGCACCGGGACGAAGGGCGTATCGCCGGCCGCCTGGCCCACCTGCCGGGGGGTCCCGTCATGGCTGTTGGGCTCGTAGTTCGGCCGGGACTTGCCATTGGGGCCGGTGTTCATGTCGCCATCGCGCTGGTAATTGGCCGGGTGCGCGGCCGGCAGCGGGGCATTCACCGGGATCAGGTGGTGATTGGTGCCCAGACGGTGCCGGTGGGTGTCCTTGTAGGAGAAGAGCCGGCCCTGGAGCATGCGATCCGGCGAGGGCTCAATGCCGGGGACCATGTTGGCCGGGGCAAAGGCTGCCTGCTCGATCTGGGCGAAGAAGTTGTCCGGGTTCCGGTCCAACACCATGCGGCCAATCTTCAGCATGCTGACCAGCCCATGCCGCCAGACCTTGGTCACATCGAAGGGGTTCACCTCGAACTGGGCGCACTCCTCCGGGGTCATGGCCTGCACATACACCGTCCAGGAGGGGAAGTCCCGGCGCTCGATGGCCTCGAACAGGTCGCGCGTGGCGTAGTCCGGGTCGGTGCCGGCCAGGCGAGTGGCCTCCTCATCGGTCAGGTTCTTGATCCCCTGGTCGGTGATGAAGTGCAGCTTCACATAGCGAATCTGCCCGGAGGTGGACACCATGCTCAGGGTGTTGGAGCTGAAGCCGTGCATGTGGCGGAAGCCGTCCGGCGTGCCGCGGCTCGAGAAGAGCACCGTGAATTGGTGCAGCGACTCCGGCACCAGCGAGGCAAAGTCCCAGAAGGCGTCCGGGTCCTTGAGGTTGGTCTGGGGGTTGCGCTTCTGCGTGTGGATGAAGTCGGGGAACTGCGGTTGCGAGGGGAGGACGCAGGGACATTGGTTAAGAGGAGTGAGGCAGGGCCGGTAGGGCAAGAGGGGGAGAGGGAGGGGGGAGGGACGGGGGAGGGAGTAAGAGACAAGCAGGCAGACACGCAGGCAGGCAGGCAGGCAGGCAGGCAGGCAGGCAGGCAGGCAGGCAGGCAGGCAGGCAGGGAGAGAGGGAGAGAGGGGAAAGAGAATGATGACAATGGCGGAGATCATGCCGGGCGCCGCGATGTCGGGCGAGAGGAGGGGAACGATGGCAAGGTACCTTGATCGCATCGCGCACGAAGAAGACCGGGGTGTTGTTGCCAACCATGTCGAAGTTGCCTGAATCGAAGCAGGTTGGACGCGAGACCCGGGCGGGCGGGGAGAAGGGGGGTCAGGACCGAGAGAGAGAGAGAGAGAGAGAGAGAAGGAAGGGAAAAGACAACAGGGACGGGGGCCCGGTGCGCACCCTGGTCGGTGTAGAACTTGATGGCGAAGCCGCGCGGGTCGCGCGCGGTGTCGGCGCTGCCCTTCTCCCCGCCGACGGTGGAGAAACGCGCCAGCACCGGCGTGCGCTTTCCCTTCTTGGACAGGAAGTCCGCGCAGGAGAGGCTGCTGCCAAGCCCGTCGAGGGCGCACTCGAAGTAGCCGAACGCGCCGGCGCCCTTGGCGTGGACCACACGCTCGGGGATGCGCTCGCGATCGAAGTGCGCCATCTTGTCGATGAAGTGCATGTCCTGCAGGAGCATCGGCCCGTCGTGGCCGACGGTCAGCGAGGCCTGGTTCGACACGACCGGCGCGCCGGTCGAGGTGGTCAGGGCCGGGTGGTTGTGTGGCTTGCTCATGGCTGCTGTTGCTTGCGGCTAGACGGGCAGGCAACTAGATGTGGAACAGTGGGGCAGAGGAGGGGGGGGGGGGGGCGGGGATGCGACGAGGACAGAGGGCTCGGAGCGGAGGCAGGAGGAGAACAGGAGGGAGGAGCAGGAGGAGCATGGGTTTGGACAGCCGGCTCGAAGCCCATCGGGCCGGCGCTGCCCCACAATTTATTCTTCGCCCCCCGGCCAGGGCACCCGATCCCCGGTCCACGGGGATCGGCAAAGGGCCGGGGGCGAACGATCTGCCGCTTACCCAAGCGAGCTGATGGCCTCACTCCCCCCCCCCCCCCCCTCCAGGGGGCTGCCCGCTCACGGGGGAGGGGGGGTAACCAAACCAAGGCGAAATTTTGAAGGGGCGCGCCCTCGGTCGCGACAGCCCGCGGCCCCCCTAGCGTGAGCTCTCTCCCCCTCGAGGAGCTGACACTTCGGTCGTGAGCCCGCGGCGACGGCGGGGGGGGGCGGGGGGAGGGAGGGGGGCAGGCCACTGACTCACCTCAGGCCACGCTCGGCCGACGTTCCTGTCCCGGGCGCCCCGGGCCGGACGCGCGGACGGGGAAAATTTTCCGCCCCCCTCCCCCCCCCCAGCTGGGGCGAAGCCGGCCTCCAACACATGTACGCCCCCGGGCCCGAGGGCGAGGGGCTGAGGGGGTCTGGTTGGTGATGGGCCGAAATGAACAGCAGCTAAGCCCCGGAGGACGCAGCATGCACCGAAGGTGCTTGCGAACGCAGGTTGCTCGGACAACCTCGAGCGGTTGCGCCGCCGGCGGACCGCCCTGGGCCCCGGGGGCCGGCGCCCCCGCCCGGGCATCTCTCGCCGTGACACGCCCGCGGCCGGCGCATGTCGGCGTCGCAGGAACACCAAAGAAGGACCCGCGGAGGGAGCGCCCCCGCTCGAGGCGGGCCCACACGCATGCTAGCCGCGTCCCCTTGCTTACTCTACTCGCTCCCTCCCCACGCCCCCCCCTGGGGGGGCGGATCCCCGGGCGCGCGCCGATCGGAACACGGCGGGCGCGCCGGTGCCAACGCACGGCGGGCGCGGCCCGTAGACACTTGTTGGGGGCCTGTGCCCTTGCCCTGCCCGCCCCCCTCGCCAGCGGGCAAAGGCCCCTCCCGAGGGGGGCGGGTCTGAGCAACTACGGCTACGGAGAGCCAGCGGGGCGGGATCATTTATAAGCAAGCCCTCGGCCAGCCCAGGACGGCCGACGCCCCCCCGCCGGCGGGTGGCATACCCTGGCCAGCTTGCTTACACATAGGTTGCACTGTGTCCGGCGGCCGGCGGCCGGCGCCCGCCACAGGGGAGGCCATGTGTATTCTCTAGGGGTGTGGAGGGGGGAACAACAACAGCAGCAGCAGCAGCGGCGGCGGCGGCGGCGGCGGCGGCGGCACGAGAGGCGAGGCAAGACCAAGGCGGGGGGGAGATCAGCCAGGGCCGCGATGCGGACCTCTCCCGGCACCCTCCGGCGGGGGCGGACCCGCCCCGGCGGCCCGACCGGTGACCATCGCCCGGTGTCGAGACATGAATTGATGAAGGCGCTTGGTGTGGACTTCCCGGGCCAGGTCCCCGGACCAGGGGGCCGCCGGACCGCCGGCCGGGGGACCTGCACGCCGGACGGCCCCCGCTCCCGGGCCGCCCCCCAGCGATGTGGCCAAGGTGGCCGCCCTCGACCGCGGCCCGGCGTCCACCGGGGCCTGCCCCGTTCGGAGCCTGTGCTCGCGCTCCTGGCGAGCATAGGCCCCGGCAAAGCGGCGCTCCAGCGAAGCATGGCCCAGCTCCCCGGAAGCACCGGCCGCCAGGAGCCCCGACCGACCGGCGGTCGCCGCACCAAGGAGAAGGTCCGGCTCCCGCCGGCGGGCTGGCACCGGCGAGGGGAACACCAGCCGGCTGGGATCTCGCAAGGTGGGGATGTCATCTGCATGGCCAAACATCAATGGCGGCAGGCGCATCTCGGTGGCGCCCTCCCCCGAGAGCCCATCAAAATCGTGGAAGTACGACAATTGGTTCATGAGCTGCACGGTGAGGCTGCTTTCTTGGGTGGAAGAGCAAGCGGCTGCGCGGCCCCACCACCGGCACACAGCAGGAGAGCACGTCAGTCCACCATCCCCAAAGACGCCAGGCGACGCGAGTAGAGCGGGCCCCTCCCGAGGGCACAGGAAGCACGCGAGCAGGACATGTGGCCAAATGCCACAGGGGTCGCGGCGAGGGCAGGAAAGAGAAAGAGAGGCGGGCGAAAAGGAAAGAAAAAAGGAGGCAGCACATGCCGGCACACGGGGCCCCAGCACGCACATGGCTGGAAGTGGACGCTCTTCGGCGTGGCCAGCAGCCGTCGGATGTAACTGGCCCGATCGAGAACCAGCTCCCCGTGGTTGAAGACAAATGGCCGGACAGACGCCAGCAGGGCCGCCGGTATGGCCAGCAGGCCCGCATCGCCGGCCTCCGGCCGCGGGGCTCCCGGACCCGGGGACGGGCAGGCCCCGCCGGCCGGGGGGAAGTACAGCGGCAGGTAGACGCCCCAGAAGGCGGCTGGCAGGGTGTCCATCGACAGGCCACTCAACGACAGACGGAGATTCCGAAGCAGGACCGAATGGTAATACCGGCGCCGGTCAAAATACGAAGTTAGCGGATGCGCCCCGCTGCCGACCAGCGACTCGACATCACGCGTGGCCCCGGGGCTGCTGGGATCTCCGCCGCCGCCGCCGCCGCCGCCGCCGCCGCCGCCGCCGCCTGCCCGAGGGCCGACCAAGCCCCCGGTGCTCCCGCGCGCCGGCTGGGGCCGGAGGGTGTGCTGATTGTAGATGGCATTCCGCCGGGGGGACCGGTTGAAGCACCGCGACGAGAGGATCACCGTCAGCAGGAGGATCTCCGCGTCGATGCCAGACCCGTCGTCCTCGCCGATCTGGTCCGAGGAGGACAGGCCGCCGCCCGACCCGTGACCCCCGCTGAAGGCCGCGGCCGAGCGCTGGCGCAGCAACCGATCTGCCTGGCCAAGATGATCCCAGATGTGTGCCATGGCCTCCAGCGCAGGGCCCAGCTGGGCGGACGGCCCGCCCGGCTCGTTGCGCCCCCGGAGCTGGTGAAAGGCGAAGGGAAGGAACTCATGGTAGCAGGCCAAGAAACGCCTCGTGATGTCGAGCGAGGCGATGCCCCGTGCATGTGCCACAATCAAGTGCCCAGGTGCGGTGGGCTCCAGGTATGTCCCATTTACTTGGGGCTGCGAGCCGGACGGGCACAGACGCGAGCGGAGATCGGCCTCGGCTGATGGGGCCCAAAGAGGCCGGCGTGGCAGATGGAATGAGCAAAGGACCGGGAGACAACACAAAGCAGACCGGCGGCTTACGCACAGGGATTGTCCAGGATGAGGCCGATGGAATCCTTCAAGGAGCGAGCCGGCTCGCGGCCTAGAGAACCGGCGAAATATCTGTGCGTGCGTGCATGTGCGTGCATGTGCGTGCATGTGCGTGCATGTGCGTGCGTGCGTGCGTGTGCGTGCATGTGCGTGCATGTGCGTGCGTGCGTGCGTGCATGTGCGTGCGTGCGTGCATGTGCGTGCGTGCGTGCGTGCGTGCGTGCGTGCGTGCGTGCATGTGCGTGCGTGCGTGCGTGTGCGTGCATGTGCGTGCGTGTGTTTCCCAGTGTGGGGGGCAGGCAGTGTTAGTGGTGATGAGGAAGGACGGGACGCGGGGGGGGGGGAGGAAACAAGTGTGGGAGGACGGAAGAGGAGAGGAGCGCACTCGGAGGAGACATTCAAGAGGCCCAGGAAGCGTGTGGCATTCAGCGCCAGACGCAGATCCCCCGCCGAGGAAGCACAGATGTCCTCCAGTTGTTGGGGCTTGAGCGCTTTGAACGTCCCAGTCGCCATGGAGAAAGAGAGAGAGAGAGAGAGGGACCGAGGATGGGTCAGTATGGACCGAGGCCGCCAAGGCAGGAGGAGGAAGGGCGGGCGAAGGTGCAATGCGCACGGAAGATGGCCACATGCTGGTGGATGTGGGTGAGAAATTGCAACAGGGCCGCCTGCGGCACCGGGTTGAAGCGAACATGCGAAATGAAGTAGCCCGGCGAATAGGATCCCCCATGCCGGGACAGGGAGCCTGCCCTGGCCGGGGGGGCGGGACCGCTGGCGCTGGAGGTCTGAACGAGGGCGATGTCCCGCGGAACCAGGCCCATCAGATTCGCGAAGTAGCTGGAGGTGCCGCCAGAGGCGAGGCCCCGATTGCGAAGCGGGGCCCCGGTGAAGTTCTCCACATGCGACTCGGAGCCCCATAGGTCGGTGACCGTGAGGACCAGCACACAGCGCGAGTTGAAGGACAGAAAGTTCCGAAGGCACTCGTGGAATTGATCCCGGACGGCGATGTTCGACAGGTGGGGGAGGTCCTTCACGAGCAGCACGTTCGATGGACTGGAGGACTTCCCATCAACCAGCACATCTCTCAGGCCACCCTCAGCCTCGCCATCGGGCGCATTGCCATCCAGCGACGGGAGGGCGGCCGACTGGGCCAGGAAGGAGACGAAGCGCGAGAGCACGCCGCCCGACCGGTTGGCTGGGACGAGGGGGTGAGCGCGGGATCCGGAGCAAACTGAGGGCTGACGGATGTCCCGCCATCGGAGGGCGGGAGAAAGGGAGGGAGGGAGGGAGGGAGGAAGGAAGGAAGGAAGAGGGCGAAGGTGGTGGTGAGGGGATGGCAGAGGTGCGCACACTCGAGACTATCCCCCAGGCGGCGAATGGTGTTCGGCCCGGTGGGATTGGTCCACTCCCGCAGGGGGTACTTCCGCTGGGTGCAGATCTGCCGCAGGGCCGTGGCCTTGCCCGAGCCAGCGGGACCGGAGAGGATGATGATGCGGTTGCGATCGCCCTCATCGGGGCCCTTCGATGAACCACGCTGCCTGCTCGGGAAGACCAGCAGGTCTGCCAGCTCGGCGACCTTCTTCGCATTCACCGGGCTGCGGATGCCCTGGATGGGGCGCCGGCAGCCGCGAGGCAGGCGCACAGGGAGGGACCGAGCAATAGTCAGTCGTGACGAAGGAGCCAGACATGGCGTGGGATGCCTCTCGGCCATGACGCACAAGGAGGGGCATGCCTCGCTCGCCGAAGAGGAGATCCCCCACGGGGGGCGCCCCGCCGGTCGGCGAATCCGTCCTGTGAAAGCGTTTGCTTGGGTGCGCCGCGATCTGCAGCGGCGGCGAGGGGGGACGCTTGCCGGGGAGCATGGCGAGTGGGGGAGGTCCGAGGCCCGGTCCGGCAGCGACGACGAAAGACAGCCCTTGGTCCAGGCGGAGAGGAGGCAGGTGGCCGGTGTTGGCGCGCCCGGGTGCGCCCAAGTGTGCCCCGCCCAGGGGGGGGGGGTATAGAAAGAGAAAAGCAACCGCTTGATCCCGCTCGCCGACAGAGACGGGGCGGGGGGG